CCCGTGTGTGTTCTCAGGGGTGAACAGATGACCTAAAGTTTATATTCCTCTGGTCACAGTGATTGGTTGAAGGATGAGTATGTACACAAACTGAGGCAATCAGAGACCTTGCCATGACTGTTATTCCAGAGCTATTTTTTCTCTTTTCCTGCTATTCATAGCAATAAATTTGGAGCTGACAGTTACATTGATGAATGTTGCCACCATAAGAAGGGAGCTTGTTTTGGGAATAAAGCTAGCACAAAGGGGAGCAGAGAGGAGAGAGAGGGAGGGGACACTGAGATTCCTGAATACTGCACCACCCTGAGTTTCTTCAGTGATGTGACCTAATAAAGTCCCTCCTGTGCTTATTCACCTTGACTTGGGTGTCTGTCACTTGCCACCCTAAGATTCCCGGCTAGTTTGGTCATGATTTCATGATGGCTGACGTTGTGGCATGTTGACAAATTTGATGGCCATTGCAGGTACTAAGAGCTTGGGGGATTCAGGAGGCAGGAGTGAAAGATAGTATTGGAGGCGGTAGTGGTAAGCCAATGCAGTACCCTCTCTGACATTCTTCTATTCAATAAATCTGGTCCTTTAAGTTGGTTTAAAGGTAGCAGAAGTCTGTTAATTGGAGAAGGGTGAAGCTTGTTTGTGAGCATGGGAGAAGTGGCCCCCTTGGAAGAGGGAATACTTAGGAGCACCTGAGATCTGGAAAGAGGGGAGGGATGGCTAGAATCAGAGATATGCAGTTTAATCTTATTAACCTCCCAGGATGGTAGTGTATCTTAGAGAAATACTAGGGATATAAGGGGTGACCCACATAGAGATAATCTCTCCTGTGCTGTTGTGGTGGTGATTAAATGAGATAATGGAAACATTATTCAGATGAGTTTGGAAGGACAGTGGGGTGGGTTACATGGCGAATCAAGAAAAACTCTGGATTAGAATTCACCCTAAATGAAGAGTAGAGGTGCATAGATTTGTTTCAGAGGGCATGAGACAGTCACAAGGGGGTGAGTGATGTTCAGTACATCAGATGTGTATCACTTCTTCCCCAGCTCAACACCGAGAGGCTCTCGATTGGGTTTTCAGGAAATGAGTGCTGAGAATAAAGTGGAAGAAGTTCTTTCTGGCAAGGCTAGGAGACTAAGGCTAGCAGTGATAATGACAAGGTAGCTAGAGGTGGCTTTGGGGACAGCAGAAAGGGGACAGCAAATATTCCTGATGGAGTAGAAGTCAAAGAGCAATAGAACACTTGTTCCTGTGCACATCTGGGATGGTCTAGTGACTCCAAAGGGGTTAAAGAACAGTGCAGGGAGAACAAGTTCTAGCAATTTCTCTAGTAGGATTGGAGCTAGAGAAACACCGAAGGTGCAATTGTTTCTCCTCTTCTGATCCCTATAACTAACTCTTATATTTTTCATTGATTATGCCTTAGCCTTTGTATAAATACTTTTGCCTCTGGCTGGCTTTCCTGGGTCCTGAAGCACAGTGAACCTTCATCACTGATGGAGGGGGCCTGGACGTTTGTGGTGGGTAGAATTTTTGGTGACTAACGTAGCAAAATGGCAACTAAGGTAGCAGCGAAATATCTTTCAATGAGAGAACTTTGGGTGTCCTTAGCTTCTCCACCATTCTGTTCTGGCATAAAAACACCCTTTGTCTTGTTCTTAGATCTGCAGCGTGATATGTCAAATGCCTCAACATGCCCAGTTTGGAAACTGATGATATTTATTGCCAACTGGGAAACCAGATTCTTTTGGAATACATGCACAGGTTATGAGTCTCTCCTCAGGCAATGAAGTAGTGATTAAGTAGATACTTGCCTACAAAACACAGATGACACTTCAATCTTTGGAATCTTTGATTTCTGAAACCAACCTGTTAAAGAGAGAAAAGGTTCATGCCAGCCTCTGAGATCATGAACTGCAATTTGAAAACTGATCCCTCTGAAATAGTCATAAATTCAAGCAATTCCAGGGGCAAGTTCAAGCCCATACTGAAACTATAGGTTTTGGTGACATGAGGTTCATGTTAACTATTTGGGCAGATCTGTGGGGTTTTTATGTGGTAACTACATGGTTTAACAAGCCACTTATGTGGATAATAGGACAGATGCTGAATCTGGAACTCTTCTAAAGTATCTGTTATGCTTGATTGCCATAGGGGACTGGTAATATCTAGGATACCGTCCACATCCAATATTCAGACAGGCACTATGAAAGTGATGTTGCCATTTATTTCTGTGACCTGGCAAGAGCACAGGATATGATATGCTGAAAGGCATCTGAAGAGTTAAGAGGATCATGTTTCTTTCCCCCAAATACAAGAGGCAAGATTGTAAAGATGACTATTCAATTGGTTGCCTGTGTTCTGTGGATCTTATACTGTTCAATTACAAGTTCCAGAGATGGATGATTGTTTTTTGCCTGTATCAACTGGAGGACAGAGAGAAATGGAAAATCCAAAAGCTGCTCCTGTCCCTTGCTGATGTGTGTTTATTTTGATACTTCTTCTAGGGCAACAGTTTTGTATAGTGCCCCGCACATAGCAAGACCTCCATGAATGTTAGACCATGTTTTTAATATTACATATCTTGGAGGAAAAGGCCCCAGTGAAGAAAATATGAGGATTGGAGTCTGAAACCCAGGTCTGAATTCAGGCTTTACCTCGTACTTGCTCTGTGACCTTGAGTGAGTTACCTATCCATTTTGAGCTTCAGATCTTCATTTTGTTTTAGGGCCATAATTCTAGTCTCATAGAGAGTTTACTTCCCTGAAAATAAATGGTTAATTTGTACCCAAATAAGAGAGTTGTCAAAGGGAGAAGGATGCAGGAAAGGAACAGGAGAGAGTACATGCTTAATTGAAACAAAGGGTGGGTCCTGTGATCCTACTTACATTTCACAAAGCCTTTCCTGACACAAGTCCTGGAATTGGCAAATCGAGGGTTACTATGTCTTAAATTTCCTATAGACATATTTTCTCTTTACCATGTCTTCAGAAAAGTGGAGTCCTTTTTGTTGATTTATCCTGAATTGGAGCTGGTGGGTGGGGAAGAAGGGTTGGACAGGAAGTAGATTGGGCTAGTGCATATTCTTTGTGTGTGGGGGAAGTGCTTAGCTATTTTGGAATACGTACCTACACGATTGTTGTAAGGCTTCTCAGGATTAAGAATACTTTTCTTTCCTTGGCTAGAATAATGTTGCTAAAAAATGACCAAGAAGCTGGTGAGAAGAGAGGTGGATAGGGTTTGGGAGAGTTGGAGGATGGAAGGAGATCCTTACATGAAGATTCATTTTATAGCCAGTGGAAGCTTCAAAATAGAGGGAAGGGAAAGTAGTTAAACTTACCAAATGGGGTCCCTGGGGAGTTCCTTTAGGAAGCATGCTCCTTATTGTAATCCAAATTTATTTGTAAAACTCTATTTTATGCCACTTTTTATAGCCTATATAAGTTAAAATTCCTCCTCATCAATGTAGTAAATTTGGAGAATCGGGGAAAATTATGTCTCTTAAAGATTTTGCATCAGATGCTCTATTCTGGTCTGGTGCCCATGCTGGGAACTGCACAGTATGATGGCAACTGGGAGTCAGGAGACCCGGAGTCTCTTCTGACCATGCCTTTAATTTGCTCTGCAGCCTTGGGTGCTTATTTTCCTTCTCTGGTACTCAGTTTTCCTATCTGCAGTATAAAGATCTTGACCAAGGGACTGTGGTATGAAAATTTTTAAAAATCATTTTTGTGGGATATAAATGAATTCTTTCACTGATATGAGCATGCATGGAGTTCAACACAAAAAAGGTGAAAGTGGAGCCTCCATCAGCTGCCTCATGTCTTTATCAGTGGACTCCAGGATGTCCCTGACAAGCCCCCAGGGCTTTGCAGGTCTCAATATGAAAACCACAGAAGAGGATCTTCAACATCGTGTTCAGCTTTGTTATTTCACAGACAAATGCCCCATAGTGAATACAGAGTCCAGAGGCAGACCAGAAAATGCTTGAGCATGAGGTGGGAGGGGTGGGGGACTTCCCTGGAGGCTGGTCAATGCTGGCTGCTAAGTGGAAGCAGAGAGCAGTCATTCTTTTAATCCAGATGGATCTCAATGCAGAGGGGCCACAGGGTCACATGGATTCTTACGGCAGAGCAAAGGAAGTCCCCATCCAGGAAGGCTGTTATGGAGAAGGGGATCAGGTACTGACACTCTGGCTGCCATTTTGCTGGAGGTAGCTGGGAAATGGTCAGCTGGCTTGGAATCAAGGCATTCAAGAAAAATGCCTTTGGTTGCTCTTGCTTGGCATTGTTCCTCTGAGTTCATTGAATCTGTACCTGGGCCATTTGGAATAAGCCAAACAGGCTTTGGGGTAAATGGGGACAGTAGTCCCCATCCCCTCTGCCAGGACAAATGCCATTCAGCCTTGGAAGTCCAGCTCCACCCCAAATGGCAGTTCCTGTGTTTGCAGTTTTAGTCCACTTTTAGCCCGATCGCCTGCTGCGTCCGCCTGCAGGCCTTGGACCGATCTAGGTCCCAGACCAGTCCTGGGAAGGGCTGAGCAGTGTTTCCCAAAGTGTGTGCCAGGGAACCCTGTTTTCATATGTGACTAATGTGTTCTTAAGGTAAAAATGGATATTGTGCCAAGTAAGTTTGGGAAACGGTGAGTTGAATTTAAGCAGATTTCTTCATTATGGCACATCTCAGAGTTAAAACTTTAAGAGGCAGGAATGTGTGAATTCTCTAAACATATTTGTTTCAGGATATCTTCTACTTTTGCTTTATCCAGTATCTGTTCTGTGGAATTTCCTTTGGGATTGCTGGGACAGAGCATTCCTTAATCAATAGTCTCCACACTTCTATTCAGTAACGCTTAGAATTAATTCAGGCTTCTGTCTTTAGGAGTTGGTAGCTGAGTCGTGGCAGCTGAGTGTTTGTGTTCATTTGTTTAACCAACATTTTTTGGGCACTACAAGTGTCAGGCCCTGGGTTGGTGCTGATGAGACCACAGAAAGGGTCTGAGTGTTTGTGTTCATTTGCTTAACCAACATTTTTTGAGCACTGCAAGTGTCAGGCCCTGGGTTGGTGCTGAGATCATCTCTCGCCCTCTGGAGTTCACAGAAGGCAGTCAACAGCAAATACATAGCTGCAAACACAGACGACAGGCTCTCTGCTAGGGATACGCAGCCTGGTTGGAACATCTCCAGCACCGAGCACGGTGCCTGGGACACAGCGGGTGGTGGAATCAGCTCTGATCACCTTCAACTCTGAGTTGTGAGCCACGGGCAATCCTAAAATAGTAGTTTACACAAGTAAACAGTTTGTTTTCTCCTCCTGTGGTAGGCTGAATAATGGCCCTCAAAGTTGTCCTTGTCCTGATTTTTGTAACCTGGGAATATGATTCCTTATATGGCAAAATGGACTTTACAGATTAAACTAAGGCTCTTGAAATGAGAGGATTGTCTTAGATTATCCTCATGCCCCTGATGCATCCTGATTGTCCTGATGCTCTCACAAGGGTCCTTAAAAGAAGGATGCAGCAGGAGCCAGAGAGGATAAGAGATACAATGATGAAACCAGAGATCGGAGGAATGCACTCTGAAGATAAAGGGAGAGGCCACAAGCTCCGGCACAAACGTGGCCACTAGAAATCAAAAAAGTCAAAGAAAACGATTCTTCTCTCAGAGGAAACAGAAGGAACCAGCTCTGCCCACACCTTGGTTTAACCCCAAAAAACTGATTTTGCACTTCTGACCTCTAGAGCTGGGAGAGATAAATATATGTTGTTTTAAGCCACTAAGTTTGTGGTCATTTGTTGCAGCAGCAGTAGGAAATGAAGGCACCCGCCTAACACAATATCCAGAAGTAGGTGGCAGGAGGAAAGTGCAGCTGCTTGAGCAAGTTATCCAGGATCCAGCTCTTCCAGATTCCTGCGGCACCATCCTCCCCACGTGGCATTCTTCCTCATGATTATAAGGTGGGTGCTACATCTCCAGGAGTCACGTCCACACTCTGTGCCGAAAGGAGAGAAACGCTAAGGGGAAGGGGGAAAATGCTTTTTCCTTGGAAGTCTCCCCACCCCTCTTTTTTCACTTTCAAGGAAAGATGCCATTTCTAGAGATACCTGCCTAGGTAGCCTCTAGTTGCCAAGAAGTGTGTGAGGGTGAGATTTTTTTGATGGTGCGTGTTACTTTCCTGACCAAACTGGGATTCAGTTGGTAAAGAAGAAGGTGATAAAGGACATTGGGAAGGCAGATATCCTGGCATCTACCACCATCCTAGTATCCTAATGCTCAATAAACATCTGTTAGAGGACTAAATTAATTATGGAATGAGGGGCAACTGGAGTCAAATTGTGGATCTGTTAGCCCAGATGAGGCAGGGTAGGACCCTGAGCTAAGGCAGGGATATGGGGGTGGGTAGGTTGGAAGGGATGTAAAAGATAATTCAGATCCACTGGGCTTGGCGATTGAGTGGAGAATCAGTGATGACACCCACCTTTCTAACTCAGGCAGCTTGCTAGATAGGGGTACAGTTTCCCAGGACATGGGATACAGGATGGTTTTGAATCTTTTGAGTTCGAGGTGCCTGTGGTCTAGTCCTCTTAACCTTCCTCCCCTGCCTGCTGCTCAAGTCTGTTTGTTCAGGACCAGCAATTTGCCAGGAGTGATCTGTCTGTGTGCAGATGCAGCCACAAGGTGACAGTTCTATTTTCTCTTTTTCTCCATTTCCTGTCTGGGCTGAATCCAGCCATCTTGTAGACATTTTTACAGTCAAAGCATCTTGGCAGCCTCCTTCAAGCTCCAGCCTGGTGCCTCTGCTCACTGACTCACTGGCAAAGATCTTGCTGCATCAGATTAGTTTGTTATTTTCAGGGGGTTTAGAGTGGGGCGGAAAGAAGAGCCTTACAGTGCTCCTAATGACTTAGTCACAGCCTGGAGTTCTCTGCTTCAGTCTGCTATTTTCCATCTGTGCAACTGGCCATTTAGGTGCCTACAGGCCTCTGCTAAAATTAGGACCAAGATTGTTGTATCTCTGTCGATGTTGGATGCTATGGCTCTCCACATGGGGTCAGACTTTGGAGCTATGGATGAGTGGTTTGAGTCTTGCCTTGGATGGCACAGACTGCGAGCTCATGGATATCCATGGTCTTCTGGGATGCCTGGCTAGACTACATTCCTCAGCCTCCCTTGCAGTTAGGAATGGCTGTGTGACTGAGTATTGAATGCTAATAAAAAGGAAGGGTTCCACTTCTGGGCTGGGCCATGAGAGTCCCCTGTGCAGTCCTCCAGGAGAGATCCAGAAAGGTCTCTGTGGCTCTAGGGCAATTGTGGAGTCACAGATGGGAAGAAGTGGGGCCTCTGAATTACTGTACAGAAGGCTACCTGCTGGACGCCTGGGGCCAGCCAGAGCAGAGGTATTCCTTCCATCCCTCCCGGATCTCTGTCTTTTTGGAATTAACTCAGGGACTATGGTCACTGCCACCCACATTAGTGTTTGGCAATAGAACTTATCTTAGGCTCTTTACGTTGTTATATAACTTTCATCTTTGCTTATATGTTTCTCTCTTTAGATTGAACACCCTCTGAAAGCAGGGATTTTGTCACATAATTTTATTTATTCAGAATAACAAACAGTGCTGAGTAGACAGCAGACACTGACAAAATTTGTGCTTTACGAATTAGATATGTTTAAGAATTACAACATCATTTCTGCTCATTCCTAACACCATTAGGGGGTATATAAGCAGCAATAAAAAATATAAAATGCAGTCCAGTATCCCTCCCAGAGCATGCAACAGTTTCTCACTGATTGTTCAGAGCTTTTGTAGCTTTCAGCTTACATATACTAGATGCTAAGATGTTTATCATATGCAGTGAGCACTAACAGTTTTCCAAACACGATGCTGAAAGCTTTATTAAGTTATCCCTTCACACACTGAAGCATGTCAGGGGGTGGAGGGCAAAGGGAGGGAGAGCATTAGGACAAATATCTAATGTATGCAGGGCTTAAAACCTAGATGATGGGGTTGACAGGTGCAGCAAACCACCATGACACATGTATACCTATGTAACAAATCTGCATGTTCTTCACATGTATCTCAGAACGTAAAGTAAAATTTAAAAAAATTATCTCTTTTAATACTCATAACAACCATAGGTGCTATTATTTTTCCCTCTTTGCCATGAGAAAATTGCTTCTAAGAGAGGTTGAGTAATATACTTCAAGCCACACAATTAATAAGCATAAGATCTGGCATTCCTACAGAGCCCTAATTCCAAAGACTCAGCATTATATAACAATTTCCTGCCTGATTCTTTCCCATACTCAGTCTCTTGAGTGGTCCAGGGCCCTGTGGGATCTGCCATGCCTGCTTTGTCAGAGTAGGCATCTAGCCCTACCCGTTTTCAATGCCCCAGAACCCCACCCGCCTACTCAGAGCTGTAACTGACTTTTTAGATTTCGTGTGTCTGTGGATGCCAAAAAAGATGTGAAACCTTCAGTTGGGCAGATTAGCATCTCAGACTCAAATCTGGCCCCACATCTTGCCTTAGACACGTCCAACTCCCAGGCTGCTCCTGGTGCTAAGGTGGGACCGGCAGGGAGCCAGACAGGAGCACAATGTTCTCTGCCCATCAGGCATTGTCTGACACCTGTGTGGGATTAGAGGGTGAGCCTCCAGGCTCCAAGGGACACTCCTTCAGCATGGAATGACAATGAATTCAGCAAATTGTTAGAACATCAAATGAGGAAGATAACTCTCACAGGCATTTCTGATACCCATGAGGATCTGTGCTCTAAAGGGGATGCCAATGGAGAAGTTGGCACAAAGTCCCCAAAGTTAAAAAACACGCAGGTTCCGACAGCTGCAAGGCCCCTGCTCACCCCAGCGCCTCCTCCGGAGCCTTTTGTTTGGGGCCAGCCCTCTTTCTTTTCATAGATTCTTACAGGGGATTTTCAAGTTGATGATAAAAATAATGCTGACAGGCAATATTTCTTGAGCCTTTACTAGCACTCTGCTAAACATTTGATATAAACATGTCACATTAATATAGCAAGCCGAGGAAGAAGAAGGTGCCACTTTTATCTTTCTGACAAATAAGGAAACTGACAGACAGGAAAGAATTGTCCATGCTCATATAGCTTGGGGGTTGTGGGTCTGGAGTTCCAGCCCAAATTTCTCCACCTACCTACTAGCCTTGGCTCAAGTGTCCAGTGAGCAGTTAATTAAGGCAACAGCTTGGCCTAAGAGAGGGAGCACAGGCTTCAATGTTACCTAGATTGGGATTCAAACCCCAGGCCCACCACTTCACAGCTGTGAGTTCCTGGGCAAGTTAGCTCGGCCTCCTTGAGCCTCAGTTCCTGATCTGTGAAATAAAAATGACAATATCAACCTCCAAGAGTTGTGAAGATTGCCAAGAGAAGGTGAAGCAGATGGTAATTGCTGAGCAAGTAAGTGTAGCTATAAGTGTTGCATTTTCCAAAGGCAACTTCCCTGTGTGATCTAGTACTGTTATATTCTGTTACTAATCCATTCATTCGCTTATTGATTTATTCATCATACATTTACTGAACACCTATTACATTCTAGAGATTGCTGAGGATGTGTCCTGTTTGCTGACCAGGACTTTCGGTTAGGATTACCCAAGTCCACACATATCAGAAATCCAACGACAGTGGTTTTTACCAAAGAGGGGCCTATTTTTCAACCATGGTCAGAAGTTTGGAGGCAGGAAGTGTGAAGCCAGGTGTAGTGCCTCCATGATTCCATCTCAGCCCCAGCCACCTTTATCCCTCTGCTCCTCCAGCTTTGATGAAGAGTTTTCATCCTCATGGTCACCTGTGGCTATCAGATGGGCTGTTCCACTTCCAATTCTTTGACCACATTCCAGGAAGAAAGAAGAAAGGAACCAGGAAAGAAGCCATGCTTATTTATGTCAGCACAATGAAACATTCCTAGATATTCCCCAACATACACCTGCTTATGTATCACTGACTGCTTATATCACATGGTCATCTCCAGCTGCCATTAACATCGGGGTTATTTTAGTAAAGAGAAAGGAGAGCGTAGTTGGTGCGGGCAGTACAGCACCAGTCCAGATTCTGGTGAATAATAAGTGTCTTTAAAGCAAGCCTTGGCAATTTGCCAAGCACCGTTGGTACTTTCACTTCGGTTACTGGATTTAATCTCCCTAGACTCTCACGACAACCACATGAAGGAGGCAGGTACTCCCCTCCCCATGGTCCTCTTCTCACACTTCTCATTCCCACTGGCAGCAGGTTCTCTGGGAAACCCTGGGCTTTAGCCTTGGCCATGTGCATGCTACAGGGCAGGCAGGTGGAGCTAGGCCAGTGTCCTTCCTTCATTTCCCCTCTCAGCTGTGCAAGTGCAGGGTGTTGGGGGAGGAGATGAGGCAGGGCACGAAGGAACATAGTGGGGTCTATGGTTGGCAAAGGCATGAAGGTCCTTGCAGACAGTGGCTGAGATCATAGGCTTTGGGGCTTGAATCCTGGCTTCGTCATGATTCCTGTGATCTGGGCAAGCTGGCGATCTCAAAAATACAGATAATAGGACTGACAATTTAAATAAATTAACACATGAAAAGACTCCTGGCCTGAAGTGAGCAAATGAGTATTAGTGATTATTATATCAGAAAACACAGATTATATCGTAAATACAATGTTGTAGAGTGGGGTTGGTAAACTGCAATCAAAGGGCCAGATCTGACTCTCAACGTGTATGTGTAAATAAATATTTATTTGAACACATTCATGCCTGTACTTTTACACATTGTCTATGGCTGCTTTGTACAATCATGGCAGAGTTGAATAGTCATGAGAGAGACTGTATGCCCTGCAAAACCTACGATATTTATTATCTTGCCCTTTATAAAAGAAGTTTTTGGAATCCTGTTACACTGGAACACGCAATGTTAGCTTAACTTTGAAGGTCGAAGAGACTGAGAGTCAAAATTC